GCCAGGTGCTTCAGATAATTTGTCTGAATTTAAATGCAATGAAATTAATGCGCATTTGTCTGCTGCTGCTGTTGCTGCTGTTGCATCCTCATCAGTATTTGTCTGTTGCACCTTTGAGCGAACGTCAGTACGAAACGTTGTTTGTATGTTCCACTCTCTTTCACTCATTCTCTCTCTCTCTATCTCTTTCTATCTCGCTGATTCTCATCGCCATGTCTACAGCATTCCACTCCAGCTAAACGTCGACAACGCTTCATTTGACTCGAATCGCGTATACGCCACGTTGCTCGTTTATATTTTGATCCCATGCATTGCGAGTTTGAAATCCAATTGCCATAAAATTATACAGTTGTATAAATGTATCCAACTAGATGTGCGTGCCACATTTACCACATGTTAAGCGAAACGTTGCAAAGGTCCTGCATTGAGGCAAGCTTGCAGTTTCAAAGCTCAATGAACCACAACAATTCGTAATTGTCGCTCAAAAAGTTATCCATGAGTTTCAGCTGAAACAGACTGCAGCTACTATATATTAGGAGGCATGAATTTGCAATTCGGTTGAAAAAACTTAAGGCAGCCAATAAGTGACTTTTTCTAATGTTTGTCAACAGAGTATAAAACTATTATTGACTCTCATACTGCAAAAGATTTAAGCATTGTTACCTTTAGCTTACCTTAATATATAACTGAAAAATTATTTTAACTAATATTACTTAAAATGAAACGTATAATCTCTGCGGGCGAAATAATTGGGAACAGCTTCGAAGGGTTCAGTTCGAGTATATTTTTAAATATGTGAGCCAGCTAACAAGTAAAAAGTGCGGATTTAGTCACATGTCCTTAAGGAAAGCACTTGCAGGAGTCGGTCAATGCAGTAACAAGTGAGATTTATGTGCTTTATGCCGCACATTAGCGCATTGTCACCGCACTCGGCACACTTTCAATAAATTAGCCCGAGGCTCACACGGTCCACACTGTGGAGTGGAGTCGACTAATGCGCTTAGCGCCTTTGTTGCGACATTTTGGGCAATGCTTTGCAGAGGAACGCACGGCGGGAAGGCGGTAAAAATCCGCCATAAATAAAGGATAACAATTTGTTAGACTGCAACAAGTGGCAAACTAAATCAACAAAAGTGCGAGTAGATTTCGGCCAAGAGCACTTCGAGTCGCACCTTCTCGCTCTTTCACAGTCTCTACGTCTGTGTGTATTCGTATGTGTGTGTGTGTGTGTGCGTATGTGACTACACATGTAATCCAAAGCTGGTAATGGAGAACGGTACGAGCCTGAGCATTGAGTATGGCACGTAGGAGCAGGTGGAACTGGCGCTGATAAACAGTTATCTGTGTTTACTTTAGCAAGCAAACGTCTGGGCGCGAGTCCTTGAGTAATGGATGCTATATTTTGGCAGGATACTAAGCGAACATTTTAAAGATTTCAAGAAACTTTATTTAATAAGCATCAGAGATAAGCTTAGAGATACCCTGTATCCAGAAATTACTTGCCCTTAAAAATAGTCGAATTTACTCTTATGTCTACATCTAAAAAAAATATACACTCGATTCTAGATCTATATATATACATCATATAGTCATATTTTCCTAGGTAGGAAACCCAAATTTTGCAATTCAGAATACTCGTATATTTTATAGAAAAAAGAAAATTCTATCAAGAATTAGTAAAGTTCGGTTTTCTTTAACCCTCATCGTTTTTCTCAGTGTATAGGTAAGATGAGCAATTTGATTTTGGGTCCCTTTCGAGTGAGTGCAATGGCAAAAGTGAAAGGACAGTTTTCTGTTTAAGTACATTTTACTTTATCCTTAAAACCACAACAAGGGCAGAAGCTATTCGGCCTCGCAGGACTTCAAGTAGTAGCTGAAATTAAGCCTTCAACGCAAAGTGTCCCTTTTTTCCGTTTCCTTTTCTTTGTTGGTAATAACATTAATGCAATTTTACGCTTTTTATAATCCTAAGGAGAATACTTTTAAATTTTAGCACAACGTGCGTATTTTTTTCACGATTGATAAAAAGTTGTATTGAATGGCATATTGTTCTTAAACAAAAGGTTTTTCATACAATTTCTTTTAAATTATGATATATTTCCTTTAATTATTCGGTCTTAATTCATCGGATTTGTTGTTTTAGCCACTGTATTTAAGCTCTTAATATTCTAGTAGAATAGTACATTGGCTCCAAGTTTGAATTTGCCTAGTCAAATGTATTTCAATTCTAATTTGTGTATATATCTAGCCTTACATCTCTTTCTATTTTCTTCAATGTAAGCTTAGTCAAGTAAGTGTGATTGTTCCGGTTGGGCTCCATAAAGAAACGTTTTAGCTATCAATAATCGGAAACAAAGACACTGCACGGGTACTATATAACCAGTGATTCTGGCGATGAATGTATATATTTTCTAGAGTCTGAATTACATTCATTCATTGATCGTATTGTATACAAAATGTCTTGTACAGCCGTTTTCTTTCAACTAATCACAATTGTCGGTCTGAATACCAGAGGTAGGGCGTATTCTATGTTTGAAAAAAAATGTTTTCATATTTTACAATATATAAGCACCGGCCTGTGTTCCTCTAGTTAGTTTAAAAATATAAAGCGCAGTCAACTTTGACTGCGGGCGGCATGAAGCAGGCGGCGGGCGCGGACTGCGTGAGAATTCCTTTGAGTCTGTCAATGCACAATCGGCTGAGGGTGCAACTGACACATGCACAGCAGCAAAAGTTTCAGTAATTCGCTTCATTAAGTAATTAACACGCTCATTATAATTTAATTAACATTATTGAATGAACATACACACACATGCAGCCACACTCACACGCACACACAATGTCATATATATTTCTATGAAATATGCCCAATTAAATTTCTATATTTTGTATAGAATTAAATGGAAAATGTAGAAAGCATCTATAGGCGATGAATAGTTACAATATTCCTTATATGTAACACTGCAAATATATTCAATCCTTGAGGAAATGTTCTGGATTTGACCCACAACCTAAAACCTCTATGCGACCTTCGGCAGGCCGAAGATTTAGTACCCCTGTAGACATTTTCCTTGTGCAGATACCTGAGAATAGTGTAGCTCGGAAATGTTGAGTTTTTTTGAAATATCTTTGAAAACAGAATATCTTGCTATAAACCCAACAATCTTTCCTATATGATATAGTGGTACAATGTTGTTAAGATATTACATAAAAAACAGAATGGCTGCTGCGAAAAAGGCGAATTACAAGAATTCCGATGCCAGTGCAAAAAGGGATGTACATTTCTAAATAAGTAAAATCCTCCTTAATAATTTTGAGTAACCAAACATACCTAAATTTACTTTCTTACTTTCCAGTACTATTTCCAGAATATCTAAGCCAAAAAAACATTGAGGGTACTATTAGAAATACATCTGTCATGGGATATCTTACCACAAATATTCTGTTCATATTCATTCATTCATATGAATATTTTAATTTTATTTGCGCCCATACAAAAGATTATCGCAAATGTATAAGACGCCGTTCAGATGGTAAGTATAAACTTTGATTATAACGCTTTTCTGCGTGTCCTTTGTAGATCATAAAAACGTTGCTCTTGCGAATCAACTATATATTCTTATTTTTTTTATTTATATTGATTAAAAATCCAATTGCAATTATTATTAATTTAGTATAGAATATACATTAATTTTGTTGCGAACAGTATACCATAATTCCATTATTTCGTAGATAGTTCAATTTATTACACTGCTGAGACATACCGAAAATATTATTGGATTTAACACAAAACAAGTCATACCTCTAGACGTAGTCAATAAAGTATTCATGATCTTCTATATTTGCATCCACTATCGCAATTGCAGCAATGTCTATCGCAGGTGCCTCTTCCGCAACAGCGGTTATGTTTTCCACACGGTAAGTGAAGGCATATATGGCCAAATGAGATGACATTCGGATAATATTCGCACGGGCGACCAAACAATGGGATATATTTCAGCTCTATCTTGGGGCAGCAGCCCGGTTTATTTCCGGACGACACTGCTAGAAACAGCAGCTGGCATAATATTACCAGCAGCCACGTATAAGACATAATTTCTTAACAAAAAGAGTTCCCTCAAAAAGCGCTGTGGCGTATAATTCAAAATAAAGCAAAGTTTTGCTTGACACAGTTATGATTTGTATTGGAGCTGTGTTGTGTGACGGGCACGCTTTAATTAATCAACTGTATTAATGTACCGCGAATCCATGGTGCCCTTTGCGACTGGACAAGCGTTTCATGTAAATTTATTTATAAATGCACTGAGAGTTCTCTTGTCGGAGGTGCCCTTGTGAATGATCCCCTGTACTAAGGCTGTCAATATCGAACATCTTCAGCATCGATATTTTCAATCTTTATTGCCCCTCTTAATCGATACTGTAGACTTAAATGTATTACCAGATAAGGAATGCTTAAAAACATATTATAATGGCTTCATGTTGGGAATTACTACTTATAATAAGTAAATAGTGTATAATTAAAATGGTGTTAAACTTTGAAAAATAATTAAAATGGGAAAAGTAGCCAACAGGTGACGACCTGATTAGGCGACAATGCGGCGACTTCATTTCAATGCTGAACGCGCATTAACAGATCTCAAGAGGAAACATTTGAAATCATTTTGGGCTAATTCAGTGATTTATGGGCATTTTAAGTGAAATTAGAAGCTAATCTTTCTAGAACTCAAACCAAGAGATAAAGGAGAAAAAAGCTTGTACAACTTACCGCTGTTTGAGTTTGGCACCTTTCATTATTTTACAAAAAGTTTGTTTTCCGTTGTTTTTTTTTTTTTTTGAGATTTTAGTGAATACAGAGTATCTTCCAGGGCATCCACTATGCTAATATTGCCCATTTGCAACAGGCACCATAAATTGTCTCTATGTTAAAAAAATAATTAAATTATTTGCCCGTCACAGAGCGCTGCTTCAATATAAATGTCGATTGGCGCAAAAAGCACTTGCGTTTCTTACTAATCGCAGTAATCGCACCAAATTCCTTCAAAAGTAATTTTTCGAAAAAGTTGTAATGAGCAACGTTTGGATGTTGGTATTATCACTAGAGCTGCTCTTTATTGTGTCGGAAGCGGCAGATGGAAAGTGGCTTTTTAATCTTTGCTGCCCGTCAAAGGAGTTGGTTTTTGTACCTAAAACAGATTACGCATGCGAAAATATTCCGGGTGCATTCACAGAAGACAATGTATGTGTTTACCAGCCGTGTGGAAAGAAACGCTGTTGTGGCAACGGCTGGTGCAATATGTACTGCTGCAACTGCAAAGGGGGATGCGAGGATCAAACTAATATTAACTATTTTTTGCGTCACTTCCATAAGTGTTGCATAAAAGATGTGCTTGTAATTCGGTAACTAAGCTTATACCTTTATCATGATTCATTTTATTAATGCTTATTAACATGAATTTTACTAGGGAAATTGAACCGAAAAGAAAAGCAAAGGAACTATTAAAATAGTGCAGGAAATATTAAGTCACATAAAATGCATTTGATCAGAGGCAAATCCTAAACTCAAAAATAAAGTGCGAGATATTTGTTTCAAGCGTATCCATATAATTCATTGGCTACACAACTACAGTGACAGCTCTCTTGAGCGGAATGCGACTATCGGGCTACTATATCTTTGTCTGTTTGAAAGGCCAGATCGCATAATAGCTGGAAACTTTAGTTTTATTTTCATCCGTTGGATCAATGTTCTTATTTTTTATTGATATGTTTGAAAAATAAGTATAATTTTTAAAATGAATTTAGTGTGGCGGTTGCGGTACAGTGAAACAGCGAGTTGGCTACACTGAAATCAATTTACGCTATTCGTTCTGGGGCATTACAAACTGAAGACCTGATCAATGTCGGAACAAGTTTCGCAAGTATCCCAACACATTTAGATTTTAGGCATGGCTCCTTATTTTGTACTTGCATCAGCGTTTTCCCACGACATTTACACACGGATTCCATTCAGAGCCCGTCAATCACAAATCAGTCAATGCGCCAACGACGAGGAAGACGACAAGGACGACATCGTCGCCAACTCGTTTGCATACAAATTACAGATGCAAGTCGCATTTGATTGAAAACAATTTGAAATGATATCGCACTCATCCGCATCCTGCACCCCCTGCCTCTGTTCGTTATCGTCTCGGCTTTGCCTGGCTCCGGGCACGTGTCCTGGCATCAGTTGTAGCTGTTGCCGCCAAGTGGCTCTATTTTATTTTGCCGCTGCTCTGCATTTACCTTCACAAAAGGGCCAAATCATGTGCACACTTTATTGCTTTTACGTGCGAATTGTTTGTGTTGGCCCATAAAAGATATAAACCAAATTGCTCCAGTCCAATCCACAATCCTCAATCCGCAGTCCATGGCGAGCGTTTCATTTCATTTTCAGCTAAAAGGGAACGCATTTCACATCACCTTTCCCTTCTCTCGTCTCTTTTCTCAGCCCGGTTGAGTTTAACTGCATTGGAATGCAGCTCACTCGGCACCTGGTCAGTCCTTTGCGAATACCACGACTTCCATTCCCTTCCAAGAGTTAGAAGTGCAGCTAATCAAAGCATTTGAAAGGTTGGCCAACACCTGAATACGCTTCTCTCGCTATCCAAAACTTATGCCCCGAATTGAGAATGGTTAAAAGGAATATAATTATTTTTTATATACTTATGTAAAATAATGGATGGAAGAAAAGGAAGGAGATGGGCTGAATTAATATAGCCACGGGCGAAATCCGTCAATTCTCCTGAAAACTCCTCTTCTTTGGATTATATATCGGTAATAATCGATTTTGAACATGATCTTTTAATCCTAACTCGGATATTTTATGAGCTAGATACACCAAACTTGATACGTTATATAGGTAAAAACAATATTACTTTTTATCGGACTATGGACAACGATGCTAGCAATGAATAATGTGTGGCTGAGGGAAGAATAAACATAGCTGCCGCCTGTCGTGCATAGTTTGAGACCAGCTTGTGTATAAGTTTACGAAGAGGTTTTAAGGGTTACGACCATCTATTCCATCTATTCTCTGGGTACAAAGTACTTTCTAGTCGGGCACTGCCGCCTAGCTTACTCTAACTTGTGCTCTATCGATGTGCGTCCCGCCCCTCCCAGTGCTTCAATCGTATGTTGTGCGTTCCACCCAGATGCAAATAATTACCAATATGAGGTGTCAAATGCCCACACACATACACAGACACACACACAAACGTCGCATCCTTCGTTAGCTGTAGTGGAAAATTTGTGTCGCTTGCACTGTTTGCCAATATGTTGCCGGACAGGTGAGTTGCTGTTGTTGTCCTTGCATGTTCCGATTGCTGTTGCTGTAAGCGCTCTAATTGTTGTCGTCATTGTTGTTGTTGTTGTAATTGCCTGTGCGCCGTGGATTGTGAGCTTGTAAATAAGCCTTAATTATTGCAATGGCAGCCATAAAGCCACCACACAATAAACATGCAAATGCAGTGGCCGTCTCATCTCCCGCCCCTCGGGGGATGTGTGATAAGCCAATTTGTTGGTGTTGAACTGTGGCAAATGCTGTTACAGCAGCAACAACAGCCACATCGGCGATCTAAGCCAAACGCTAATCACGGTCGACTTGACCAAAAGACTCTGTTAAATAACAAGAACTTGCCCAGTAAGTGTTGCTTCGAGCACCAAGCCAAAGGGCAAGTAGAGGGAGCGACTGGGAGGTATAATGACGCTGTGCTTCCGCTTTCGCTTGAAATATTCTGTATATGTCATTCGATAGCGTATCAAGTTTGGTATGTTTAACTGTAAACATAGTTTGACTGTGTTTCAAAACGTAGTTCCAAAATCAAAACTTATCGAATAAATAAAGCGCATGATATGCAAGAAATAATAATAGATTTCATATATTCGAAGACTCGTGGAAAGGAACAGACATAGGGTTAAGTAATAGGTACCATAAAAATAAATGTTTTTAATTATTTACGCTTATTGCCAACTGATAAATTAAATTAAAATTTCATTAAGCTGAACTCAGCAATTTGTTTATAAATTAGATTTAATTATTGAAATTTGTAACTTGTTTTTAGAGCCAACTACCGTAAAGCATTTAAATGAACCTGCACCAGGGCTCGGCTGGCCGTCACGTTGTCATAATTAGAACGTGCCGTGCGGGCTGCAGTGGGAGCCACTGCAGCGCAGGGCACACATAAACGCTCATCAAATCCACTTAAACTGGTAATGGCCTGCGCTGCTACAGATCCGCCACGCCCCCAATTGGTTTTATTTGCCATCAACAAACAGCGAAACACGCATACGACGCGTTGCACCGTTGCATAGCTGATTGTGGCACCCTCTGCCGATGTGTGTGTGTGTGTGAGCGTTGGTTAGTTGGCGTTTAAGTGCCGTTTGGCTCGGCCAAAGGTGCAATAGAGAGAAGCCAACAACAGAACGATGATAGCCAGGTCCGGCTATTTGCCTGCTGCGGAAACTGGGCACAGGCAGCTGATGCCGGCGCTGGGCTTCGGTCAGTTCATGATGACGGTCGGTTCATGTGATTTTTGCACTGATTTGCGTTTAATTGAATTTTGCGTTTGACACAGCTGGTGTTTGGCCTCACGAAGCTGCCCAGCTCGCACTTGGCCCGTCAATTTGCAAGCCACATTTAATTACGTCGAAAAGGAAGGGCAGCTAAAACATGTTGAGCCTACTTAAAATGATTACGAGCAGGCACTAAACGAACAGACAAACTCCGTAGCATATAAATCAAGGCGGATGCCTGTTCAGTGGCTGGTCAATGAACCGCAATGGGTAGGCAACAAAAAAGAAAGATAAAAATAGGCAAAGGCGGCAAGCCAAAGCCTAGTCTATGTTCCTACTCCGGCCTGGTCTATAACCATTAATGATGTGGCCTACAACCTCGATACGAACGCGAGTACGTGCCTCAATGCCACAGCCGCAGTTTTCTAGCTTCCCCATGGGGGAAGCTGTTGCAGTCTGGCAGCAGAGCTGGGCCTACTCCCACGCCCACGCCTGCCATCCTGCACGGAGAAAACAGTAGAAGAAATGCGCGAAGCGGAAACAACTTAATGACGCGCGGCGCTAATGGTTCACTTAAGCACCCACATAAGTTGCCCGCGCGCTTCCAAAAACAGAGCGTTAGAAAAAACACACATAGAAGCGGCTGCCTTTGGCACCCCGAAACATTAATACACTTTCCAATATAAATGAATTGAATTATATTTAGCCGTGCTACCGATTACTGCCCATAAAAAATGATTATAAAACAACGGCCAGAGATGAGATTTCTTATACTTCGTTTAACAATTAAGTATTTCGTGAAACATGGAAGAATATTATAATCGTTGCAAAATTGAGCTATGTAAACAAATACCACAATATTGCTTCGTTTTTTAAAGGGATTTTAAATTTTCGATACCCAGAAAAATATAATTCTCTCTTTGGGCATATTAAACTGGTGAAAGTATGAGTTTGAGTAGAGGAATATCCTAAATAAACATTCTAAATATACCATTTGATTTTTCATTTTTCTGTATAACCGTCAAACACTCTCTCTCATTGCTCCCAAATCGATAAATGTCGATTATGATTGTGATTTGCATTAGTATAAAAGGGTATATTCTAGTCGGGCATCCATGACTAAAACTGTCCTTTCCTTTTTTTTGTGCCCCATTACATTTTAGAGGCGTCGCAGGCTTGTGGGTGTCACTGCGTTGTCGTTTTCCCGCCAAAATCGGCAAACGGCCTCTACCCTCCACTCGTCACCCTCCGCAGTACAGTTTGCCTTCTGCTTCTATGCGTACTCCAGTGCTTGCCCTGGACCGGCGGCTGCCTACCCTCCGCCCAGCGCCGCTGACGTCGCAAAGTAATAATTTCTCGCTAATGGTGTCCTAAATTGTCAAGAAATATGGAACCATTTGAATGTGGCACCCCCCTTCAGTGTCAGCGTGTGGGTGTGCCTCCCGGAATGTGTTGATATATATATATATATATATATATATATATATACAGGGAGAATATATCTACATTATGGTATATATGTATGTGTATGATAAGGAACGCTGTTGCTGAGAGTGCGGCTTTTAGTTCGTTTGTGTTCTTGACTTCCGGTTAGCCTGTCGACTAGAAATGTCTTTGTTTTCTCTTTTGACTGCTTTTATGTGTGCTAAAAAGAAGTAGGCGTGTCTCAAGGGTGGGTGTGCATCAAGTGTACATGTTTTTGACAACTCAAAGTACAATATGAAGGCTAAACTACTGGTAAATATGGGCCAACAGCAATAAGCAACAGCTTTTTAGTAGAAGCTCCAAAATCGAAATTTTATGCAGATCGATAGAGTGCTTTACTGAATTCCTTTGAATAACATTCTAGTTATTTTAAATTACTGTTCCACATGCAAGATCGTCCTGTCCTAGAAGTTGTTATGCTAAGATTTCAAACAAGGAAAGGTGAGTCATATTTGAGTTAACCTGTTTCACAGATCTTATGAGGACTGTCGACCAGCAAAGACTAGTTAAAAAGAATGTTGCTAAACTGTTTATCACATAGTTTGCTTCATTCGGCTCATTCC